GACAATCACCTCAATGTAGGATTTCTGTACTTCAAACGCAAGACAATTACACTAAAGCAACTATCGCTGTTTTCTGTCTTCTGTTTTCTGTTTTCTGTCGTGATCGTGACCTGGATTGACAAAAGTGAACCCTGGCTATAAACTTTACACGAATCATGCAATTTCACAGGATATTTCAATTACTGGAAATCTGGGTCTGTTTTATTTTTGTTCTATGTCACCTTTCGTTAACCAAGTTGAGTCTGGAAACAAGTCATTGTGTTGTTAAACATGTACACAGAGCAGATACAACCGTTTATTGAATCCAATACTGCATCAAATCTTTACCTCAGTAAACATCAGAATCAAAATCTGAATTTTTTGGTTTATTCGCCAGGTCTGTTAACACACACAAGGATTTTTTTTCTGACCACTAAATGCAGCATTTAGACGTACACAAACAGTGCAAACACACAACACGAACAGTCAAGAGACCCTGCCTATTTGGCATATGTACAGGGTAAATATATTATGTGTAATATGTATCTGAATAGTGCAAAGGAGCAATGACCAGAAAAGATGCCATGTCCAGAAAAGATGCAATGTCCAGAAAAGATGCATGCTATGTCCCTCGGAAACCCAATTAAATTAGACCAAATCTCTTAAATCTCTTATATTATTTAACTTAGTTCTAGAAGTCAAAATATATCTTTGCAGAGTCTCATTTCAGCGCAGCAGGTCAAGCCCACCCACCCTCTGCCCTCTGGCCTACGACGGAGAATTGACCTGGCGTCCCTTCGGGAAATCAGCGAAGATTAAAAAAATCATAATAATTAACCAGAAGCGTACTAGCAGACTACCAGCAACACACCAGCAGAGCCTGAGGCTGTAGCAGTTATGGGCTCATTCAGTCACACCCTGTCCGACCCAGGCAGGAGAATCGTTGAATTACAGGCTGTCAGGGTGATTAATGTAGGTTTTCCTATTAAAGGAACACAACTGCTGGGATTTAAGAAGAGCCGTTGCCCTGGGGGACTGAATAGAGGCTGCACCATTACTTGTGTTTGACCTCAAACACATTCACATCTCACCCTCTGATTGGTGGCTGGGGTGTGGGGCAGGGTCCTTGTGAATACACACAAGTGGCTCATCTGGAAATCGGACGAGTGTTGCTAAGATGAGAAACATTATTTATTCCCTGTAGTGGCGTTGTTGACTGTAAGGTGATTTGGTCGCTAATTCTAACCAGTTAAACCATTGTTTTAGTGAGATCGTCTGCAAGCGGAGTGAGATTTGGGCGGGTTTCACATTCTCACACGATGTAAACAGAGGTTGACGGTTGAGGTTTGTAATGCGCCTGTAACCTTTGTGCTCGCTATGCAAAGAAACCCACGATAGTCAGTTCCTATGATCCTATCATCACTGACACAATACCACATATAGCTGTTGTGTCAAATTGATTTCATAACTTGCAGGTCGATGGGAAAAAGAGCTACCCCATAGAGCTAATCCATAATCAGTCCAACTAGTCTTAATCCTATTCATCCCTACATCAGTCATCAAAGTAAGACCATGTGATTACAGTTTGTCTCTGGTGTAACTCTGTTCTCAAACGACACACGTGCATATACAAATGCATTCACACACATTCAGATGTATATATGCACGTACAACAGTGTGAGCCTCAGCAGAAGCCATTTACCTGCTAAATTTAGAACAGGATAGATGCACCACACTGTCACTGGTGACTCCTTCTGCCTCGTGACAGATTAGCTATTTGGACAGAACAACTTTAGCCCAAACTGAACCTCTGTCTAACGAATGAACGGGCTCCGGCAACAAGCTAGGGGAATCGGAGAGCAGAGGATGAAAAGTGGGAGTGAACTATTGTTTTAAAGAAATTGGGGTCACTTAGGGGCACTACACTTTGGGGGATCCGAGTTTTACAGAACTGCGTGTGCGTTTATAATTGCTGCCACTGTTTGATTAATTGAATCTCGGCGTTGCTGTTCTGGGTACTCATGTAGCTTCTTTGTTAATAGTTGAATTTATTCAAATTTTCTTGGCAAGGCGGGGTTCCTTATTTTTCCAACAGTTCATTGAAGTGTTGCGTAAGGATGCGGGAAGTTACATATCCGTGGCTGTATTTCAATTTTTCTCTCTTTCTCATGAGAGGAGATTAACGAAGAAAGGGACCAGACTCAAAACAATTCTGTACTCTTCCCATGGGAAGGTAACCTTGACAACATTGATGACCACATTTTGGCAACAAACTGGAATGTTAACTGGAAGTCGTAAATTATAAATGTACTGTTTGTCTAAAAGAAGGTTGAATGGTCTTTTTCAACTTGTCAGTAGCGAACAATAAGCCCTTTCGTCAAAACCAAACAGCTCCTGATATAAGCATTGTTAGCTCATGGCCCCTGGGCACATAGGAGTCCCAGAACCACCAGAAATATAATACTCGCCTATGTAACTCATCTGATCTATAAAGCCACATTTCCTGTACTCATCTGAAACAAAGGAGGGGGAAAATGCATTTACAGTTTTGTGCTTATGTTATAAAAGGGACTTTGTACCGATTGTCCGGCTAAT